GTATAATTGTAACCTGTTCATAAAATCTGTAGTAGTTAATAATGTTCAACAATATTTTAATGACTTGTACAAATCTAAAAAGGATAAATGAATTCTACTAAATGTCAACATTCAATGACATATATTTTTAATAATCCATTATGAAATTACCATGATCTATCTTCTGCCTACTTCTTCAACCTCATCTCTTCACATTCACTAATTCCAGGCTCCTGGAAGTCTTTCTATTTCTAAATCATACCAAAGTCACACTGGCCTTAGGGCCTAACCACTTTCTTGTAGGAGACTTTCAATCCAATTTGCCTTTGTGGGCTTGTAGGGCTCCTGACACTCATGGGCTTTTCTTTTCTCTTGGGAAAGAAGACAAAATTAACAAATTGTAAATTAAGAAAGTTATACCAAGATCTGAATGTTCCTTTCCACCAGATACATTATTCATATTGCAACAAGGGAAGAAAACATGTAATGTTTATGAAATTCCTGTGAGAATTCTTTCCTAATCAGAAATGATAATGCCTTGCTGTTTAATGTTTCTGTTTGAAAAACAGAAAGGGATCTGATCCTTAGTGCCTTAAATGAGGTTCAGATCTCACCTGTCCCACCTTTGAAACAGTCACCTGAGCATGCCAGTGGTCTCCTTTGCCCAAGTGAGGGACTTCAGCCTCGGGCCCAAGACTAAGCAACCATTTGGCGTACCCACCCATTGGCAGGGAGTTGAAAGCAGTCTGAGTAATATCTGGATATTGTCTTGTATGGGGAATAGAGGAAACTTAAAAGTCTTTTGACTGATCTCTGTCTCCTGGCATCTTTAAACTCTATCTAATTATGTTTTTCAAAAGCAAAGCTAACTTTAGCCTAGAAAGTGATCTGATTTCAGCCAATTCTAATACATCTCCCCCTGGAAGGCTTTTCTCCAGGTTGATTCCTTAGTATCATTCAGATCTTATTTGAAATAGCACCTCCTCACCTGACCACATTATTTTTAAAACTACTCCTTCACCTAGTCACTGTGTTTCATTTCTTTCATTGGTTTTACCAATTTCAGAATTATTGTGTTTGTTTTCTGTCTTTTAAACTGCTTCTCCACACTTCCATCCCCTACCCCCTTTAGAACATAAGTTGCATGAGGCCAGGAACCTTAGCTGTTTTGGTCATCACTAGGGTCTGGATCACATAGCAAGTTCTCAAAAAATTTTCCAAGTATTGAATAACAGAATGAATGAATGAATGAATGAATGATGGTAGATTATAAACCATGCCTTTTTTTTCTATGGATCCTAGAATAATTGGGCATTTAAATGTGTTAATGAGAAGAATAAAGAGAATGCAGGGACAATGAAGTTAAAACATCCTTCCCAGAGGACATTTATAAGACAATGATGACCTCAGTTTCCTCTCTTACAGTGAAAAAATTGAAATCACTACCCAACTCATGCATTTGAATATTTTAGAAATATATATCAGAAGCCACACTTCTCAAATGGCAAAACAAAATCTAGTAAATAAGGATGGTGCTCAACTTTTGTGATAAAGTCAACTTGCAATTGACTTTAAAGTACATACAAAACATTCAACAACCCTTAGGCACCTACAAAAGAAATCATCTAAGAATAGGGTGAGCAGCAGGAATAGATCCATAGGTCCTTGTGATGTTGGAGCTGGTAGGTACATTAGAGAGCCAGTATTCTAAACCCCACATTTTGAACAGGAGGGAATGGGCCCAGGAGGGAAAGTGCCCTGCCCAAGTTAATACAGACATTTATGGATGCCTCTGGGAACTGTTGAGTACTATAGAATAGGTGGAATTCTAAAAGCAATTTATGTTCACTGCATCAAAATAACCAGCAAATTCAGTAGTACAAAGAAAAAAATCAATACCAGTGTTAGTTTGCCATGGTATAGACAAAACAGTCACTTGTTTTGGTAGAGCCCTGAATCAAGCTGAGCAGTAAAATGTTCCAAACGCTCCCGATTTCCTATCATAGTAAACAAGTCAGAGAGTGCATGACAGTGATAGCTGGACATCACTACCAAATAGTTCACTGATTGCAATCAAACAAGTAAGGATGTACAAATTTCTTCTTGAATAAATTCTTCTCTCTTGGCCTTATTAAAAGAGAGAATGAACTATTATAACAAAGTATTTCTGAGATTATTACATGTCTTTTCTTTTGCTTTCTTAGAAGGCTATTGTCATGATGGAGTTATTAATTCTGTTTTGGAGACATCTTTTAATTAGTAATAGAATTCAGGACCCAGCATTCCTAGATTTAGACAGTTGTGTCCAGAAAAAGCATGCCAATCATAATATAATTAATTGGCTACAAAAAAAAATGAAATCTTCCAAATTGTTTTGGGAATCTGTCATTCCTATACTGAGAATAAACCCCAGACACAATGAAGTGGTCTTAATGAATCAGAAGCCCTGCTCTCTCCCTCTACTCTATATTTATTCCATTTTTACAACAGTTTTTGGTTTGATTTAATACATTGTTGTAGAAGAAAGGGCCCATTAAACAGCTATAGAAAAGTGAGAAATGTGTTCCTTTTAGGTTTTTATACTTTTAAAATGATATTCAGATGATTTTTAATTACTACAAAAGCATTGAGATGTTAATACACTTTATATAAAAGGGAGGGATACCATTCCATCCATCCTTTTCTGCAGTGAATTTCAACTCTAAGAAAATTATTTCTTTTGATCCACTCTGATAGCATATAATAAAAGAACAATAAAACATATGGCTCAATTACCACCACTTTGCATCAAGCATGAATTAATGAATATCAAATTATTATTAATTGTTTTTTCTGGCTCTCTCTCCATAGAACAATGATTATACGTTGCTATATTTTGATAAGCATTTTGTATTTAACACTTTATGGACCAGTCTCAAAGAGGAACAGATGTGTACAATTATTATACAGGAGAATAATTCTTTGAATTTATCAACACTTGAAAAATACACGATCATCCTTTAATCTCCCTAGTTTATGTCAGCTTTTTGAAACTGCCTTAAAACTTTCTTAGAATTCCATCCCCACCTCAATGTTCCATACACCTCCCTTCAAGGAACAGTTGCTGTGTGTTCATTAAATAGTTTAGAAGTTCAAGTTTTCAACGTTAGTAATAATACTGATTCTTCCCATGATTATAGAATTTTCATTTCCTTCAGAAAAATCTCTTTTAGGGCCGGCCCGGTGGCGCACTGCCACAGTGTGCCGCTTGAGAGCGTGGCGGCGCGATCCCGCCGAGGGTTCGGATCCCACATACAGACCGGTTCCTGCTCCCTGGCTGAGCAAAGTGTGGGCGCAACACTGAGGGTTGCGATCCGTTGCCAGACACGAAAAAAGACAAAAAGGAAAAAAAAGAAAAAGAAAAATCTCTTTTAGGGCCGGCCCGGTGGCGCACTGCCACAGTGTGCCGCTTGAGAGCGTGGCGGCGCGATCCCGCCGAGGGTTCGGATCCCACATACAGACCGGTTCCTGCTCCCTGGCTGAGCAAAGTGTGGGCGCAACACTGAGGGTTGCGATCCGTTGCCAGACACGAAAAAAGACAAAAAGGAAAAAAAAGAAAAAGAAAAATCTCTTTTAGAATAAAAGCTATGCAAAATCAATGTTAATGAATGATATTTATAGACACTCCACAAAAAGACTCTGTGTAACCAATGGCTCATTTTATTTTTATAAGCCTTCTGTGAATATAAAGTGCTATGTAATATGAATACATTGAAAAAGCTAAAGAACATGTCTATTGTAATCCATAACCATTACTTCTCATAGATTATTCGTATACCCAGATTTTTGAAATGCATGCAAAGAAAATTTGACAAATTATAATATGTAAACTATACATGTCATATTATTTTACCTATTACCAACAAATGTGTTTCTTTCTGGTTTTAAAACACAGTCTCTAAAAACTATGTCTGTGATAAACAGAAGGATGGCATTAAGGTTAAATTGTTTATACATCTTTTCTAGTTCAATATGCTTAACAAATACATGTACAGATATGTTTCTAAAGAGCAAACTAAAACTTGCTTTAGAGTCAGCAAATTTGGGGAGTTAAAAGGTACCTTAGAAATCATTTTGTCCAGGGTACCTCATGTTACAGATAATGGCACAGAGATCTGGAAAGTTTAACTGATTTTCTGAGGTCCATACAATTTTTATGTTAACATCTTTTTACCAAACTTTATAAAAAATTTTATCAGTATTTCTTTCGCAGATGAAGGAAGTATATTTGCTTCTTAGAATTTGTCAGGATGTCAGTAATGTCTGTCAATCCAAAGTCTTTGGGAAATAAAGGTGACAAAATAATAAACTTGGTATTAATGGAAACCATGAGGCACAGACAAAATACGGAGCAGAGCTGGACCTGGCCAAGGCTGACAATGCTCACTGTCATCAGAAGTGTCATTCTTTTGACATCGGTAACTAAAACCACTTGAATTTTTTATCACTAAATCTAGCCAGATACCAGATGGTTCTTTTCATGTGTATGACCTTACCGAAGGCAATTATATTATTTATGCAATAGCAGAATTGTTAACTTTATGAGAGTCGGTCTTCAGTGTAAAAGCTTTTCTAGGTTACATATTCTTAAAATAAAACTGTTAATTCCTTAATGAATGCTTTTCCTCTTGATTTTCATGTGCCAGAATTATTGAATCCACTTTGCTGAAAGATTTAAAGAAAATAACAGTTAGATATACACTTCAGTACATAGCTAAATTCAACCCATAGCTAAAATTAAAAAACAATCATTCATCCAGGGGGTAGTGGTGGATTGAGCATTCCACTTTTCCTTCTACTCCTGAATTCATCACTGTGGCTTTTAATCATGCCATATATATAAAGTACCAGATGCCTGGCGCACATGTTTATGAGATGCCTGAGAGCTATATCTTGACAACTATCATGTACTATAAAAAATGCAAGCCTACACAGGCAGGGAAGGACACACAAAACTTCTGAGTCTTTTGTTAACCACACCCTTAAGCCGCATCATAGACTTCTAGGAGACTGGAAGTTTTAGAGCTACCAACATGCACATCAAGACCCATGATATAAAATTGGATCATGATAAGACTGCTAACTTAGAAAGAAAAGTGAATATGAAAACAGTCTGGAAGACGCAGAAAATAGAAGGCAAAGTATGAATATCATTAGGTTTGTTCTTGTTATTGATTCTGCAGCCTGATGGAACGTGGGTTTCTGAATATTCTTCAGAGCATTTTCTAGATGTAGCCTCCTAGTACCTCATGAATATCTCACATTTGTCATTAAATTTCATACTTTGGATCCCTATAGGAATCCCAAATGTTCCTCTTTCATTCACTACACAAACATCAGGGAAAAAATGCCTTTCATGTAGTGCTGTTGACCAGCCCCTCAATATCATTTTGTTTATTCTATCTACTTACTACTCAATATAAAAACAAAATGTGGATACTGGCTTTTTAAAAACCAATCAAGTTTCACAGGACTTTTATTTTGCTAATATATCGTGCACTTTGCACATCTTTTAAATCAGCTTATAAGCCTTTCATGCTTAATTCGTAGAAAATGTTAATACAGGTCCTTAATGTTTACTTCTCACATTATTTATGTTAATTAAGAGTCCAAATTATAATAACATTGGTCATTAAATTGCTAAAAAAAATACTTAGATGCTATATTTAATATAGAATTATATAGCATTAACTCTAAATTTTCCATTAAAAGTAACATTAAAAGGCATTTAATGTTATAACCAAATTAGGTAAAAAAAAAATATGTTGAAGTGCAAGTGTAAAAGGTCATTCACAAAAATGGACTTCAGTTTAAACAATTATTTGAGCAGAGAAGATCTATTTTTGTTTGGAAAACAAACTATCACTTTTGGATAGAAATGGAGAATTTTCTAAAATAAATGACCTCTTTGCTTAGTTGTATCTTTGTCTGGTTTGATATCAGAAGACAGTATAAATGTTGGGTGATTTTATACCATTAAACAAAATACTACCATAGTGTAACTATCTGCAGCTGAATTCTTAGTTAAATATAATTCATAAGATATTTTTACTTTATTGGAATACATCATTTTCAATAATACTAAATGCTCAGTCATGTCAGCAAAAGTTATTGTTTCTTACAGAGAGTAACACTTACCCATAACTTTAGAGTAGCAAGGTTCACAATGTATTGTCTGTTTATAAATCCAAATACTATCACCTGCTTGTAGATTTTCCAAAGGCCGTTTGCATATTTCACACTAAAGAAGAAATAAACAATATATAAAGTTTACATTATAGATGAAGTCTAGATTCTTAGAGGAACAGGGATAGAAAAGCCCTTTCAATTCACTCAAGACTATCCTCCATAGCAACAATAAGATAGAGCCTCAAGAGAAACTACAGGGAAATTGAGAGCGGACTTGCCTATAATACGTGTGCTGAACTTTTAAAATAAATTGGTACATCATCTCTCTACCATGGAGGTACATTTCAGGGCATATCTACCACTAAAGTTTTTTACTTAACTTACAATGGAGTAGATACAAGTTTCCAAAAATTGGGTATGCCAAGATCAAGGTCACCACTCAATATCTCAAACAAAAACACAAAGCTGCATTTATTGTTTGCTTACGTAAGGGAGAGCTATGCTGTCCAGGCATAACTTCACTGAGCGAAACAAGCGCTGATCTTAGAGGTTTAGGGGGAAAGTTTGTTACAGAGGCAGGAAGGCAAGCATTAGACCTGTCCACTGCTGATTGGCCGACTTCCAAGCATGAGGCTGTTTCTGATTGGTTGGTTGGCTTTCAGAAGGAAGTTTACTGAAGTAAATTGTCATTGATCAATTGGACATGTTTAAGCCAGGTCGGGTGGTTCTTTATTACCATGGCTATAGAACAATGTCTTTTTCTAGGAGCATGAGGATGTTTTTATTCTGTTAGTCATATTTTATTGAAATTACATTGAAAATGGAAATAAATCATCTAAAGTACAATAAGTGAAAATTATTTCTATTTACCAAAAGTGATAATCAGGAAGAGAATTTTCTTGTTTTAGAAAATTTTCTTCATAGTAATTTTAAATAAAGAGCTGTAGACTAGCTTTTGTTTAACTGAATATATTTCATAATGAAAAGAATGTAACTTCATAGTCTCATAAATAATTATGCAATCTTCAGATTATATTTTTATATAGAATTCTACATATTATGTCCTACAATTGGATTTCTTTTTTCTCAAAATGAGGCACCATATTTCTAATTGGTATATGTCACTGTAAGAGAAGCAATCAAGTAACAAAGTACTGCATCTATTTGACAGGATTAGATTATTTGCATCAACCATAGAATATCAGCACTAGAAAGGATCCATAGATTTAGGCAAATGGTTCTCAAACTGCCTGCACATTAGATCTATCTAAGGAGCTTCCAAAACTATCCATGCCCAGCAATCATCTCTGAGATGTCTGATATAATTGGGGCTGGTCCCAAGCATTCTTTATTTTCCTAATCTCCCCAGATGCTTATTATGTATAAGGTTTAGAACCACTAGTCTAGTTGACTATCTCATTTTATAGGTAAGGAAAATGAGGCTAAGGTAAGTTAGGTGGCTTTCCAAAGTCACACAGACACAGTTACTGGAAGAGACGGAACTAGAACTCATGTCTTCAGATTCTTAGTTTAGTGCTCATGCAAGAATGAAAAAAAAAAAAATAGCCTATAAAAGCACAAACTGTGAAGCATTCTACTAGTGAAAGCTTTATTATTATTTATTAAACCACAAGTAATTACAATTAATCATGCTCTCAAAAGTAAACTGAGTTTCAACTATCATTAAACCCATCAGTCCTAATTTGATGAAGCTAGCTTTCTTCTCAACAATCTATTTTCCTTTTTTGCTTTATTATATATTTTATGTAATGCATGATTTATTAAAATGTTGCAAAAACTTTTATTAAGAGAACAAGTGTTTATCTTTTTCACAGATTTAAATCTCTAGGGTAGGAGTGAATAAATGTATCAGTAATCAATTCTAAGCCTAAAGCCAAGATGGTAATTACAAACCTTTGAGGTTTGGCGCAGAACTCTGAGAAATATTTAAGTACTGCATTATTAATGTGGATGATAGTGTTTCTAAAAACTTTACCTTCATCCCATGCATTTCATTAAATAAGTATTTTTATTCCATTCATCATGTAATTTCATATTTAGTTAAGTGAAATAAACACACTCTTACCTTAAAGCAAGTGGAATGGCAGCAAATTTGTAATTCATCTAAAATCATTTTAGTTTCTACACCCAAGGGTTTTCGGCAGTAAGTGCACATGTCTCTTTCAATGACAGACCTATAGGGACATAAGCAATTAAAAATAAATTTGCCACCATACAAAAGACAGATGTATTCCCTATAAAGGCATGTGAAAATGATATATTAATTTTGATAATACTTTAGGGAATTACGCAAAAATCAAGGAAAGTTTGAGGTTTACTTGTTCTAGTAATAGAATTGATTCTTCTAGTTACCTCAAAATGATGTCAAAGAATTAACATGATAGAAATTCTCAAGTTATTAATTCATCAGTAGTCAAAGTGCATCTGAGCAGGACAAAGATGTTAAGAATTAAGTCATAAGTACCGCTTGAAGCTAGAACAGGGTTTTTAATTATTAATTTACATATATAATTTTATATAATATGTGGAAAAATTATGCTGAAGATTGATACACAGTTTTAACTCTCAAAACATTTAATAGGGCCAAAATAAAAATCAATTCAAGAGTGTGTCAATAAACCCCCAAATGATGAATCTACAGTGCTCAGGACTCTAGGGTCTAGAGTCACCAAAATATTCCTCTTGGTGTCACTCAGGATACAGGGATACCTGTCATGACAAAATTTATACTCTCCAGAAAGATATAACCCCACCAAATTTGATGGGGAAAAAAATTTTATTATTTATTTTAGAAAAATAACGTTCAACAAAAGTGAACTATAGATGTGATCAGCAGAGTCCAAAATACCTTGGGTCACACCAAAGCCTTCCTTTTGGAAGATCTTAGGATCTTATATAGGACCTTGCACAGTTTAATTTTGGAGCTTTAACATGCAGGCTGAAATTTCCAGAGTAGAATACATAATGAGGTGGTGAAATAAAAACAGCCAATACTTATCTAGTGCTTAATATACAAATGTATTTTTCCATGCACTTTACTTACATAAATTCATTTATTCTTAACAACATGCCTGAGAAGCTAGTACTATTATAATCATCATTTTATAGAAAAGGAAACTAAGGCACAAAAGGGTAAATAACTTGCTGCTGTCACGACGCCAGTGAGTGGCAGAGCCAGGGTTTAAATGGAGGCAGCGTGGTCCCAGCGTCCTTGGCTAGCCCATGGGATCTATTGGGTTCACTGTGTTGAGATGAGCTCGTTATGCCCAGGGACCACTATCTTATCATCAAGGCCAGCAGTAGAAGCAGAAAGAAGGGAAAATAGGAGGGAGAAGAGGGTGGGAGAAGAAACAGATTGGAGTAGGTAAATCTGGCCTGGTTTCATACTTTCGGTCATTCTAGTAACCTCCCCCTAGCTCTTATGTACATAAACAAGTATTTATTTCTTTCAGTTCACTCTATGGCTACTCGTTTATAGATACCTGGCAAACATTTTCCTGTGGGTTATCCATATATACATACACATGTACGCACACACTTAAACATCCGATTTAAGAGTGTAAGCTCTTCAAGAGGAGAAAATAGGTGCTCTATGACATTCCACAGGCATGAGCTATAGGAGCTGGGAATCCAGAGCAGTGGATCATCTCCTCTGATGAGAAGCTTTTCCCACTGCGGAAGCTAGATGTGTGATCTGATGACGGTAGGATACCATAGGTAGGTGGAAAGAGTCAGGACAGCAAAGCTAGGATGGCAACTAACCCCTGGGGTGAAGTCAGGAAAGGCTTAGTCAGAAAAAAATGCCAGATGGGTTAATGTGTGAAGACGAAGGAGCTCTCCAGATGGGCTCAGCATGGTGCGGGGAGGGGTGGGGGAGGGGTGGGGGCATCATGGAGAAGTTCCAAGCAGAAGGAACAAGCTGTGCAAAGGAGCTGTTCAATGAGGGTGTGTGAAGTGATTGACATCAATCAGTATCCAGTAGGAGCAGGGTCTGGAGGACCACAGAGAATGTGCAGAGGAAGTTGGTCTTTATCCTGTAAAGTGAGAAATCAGTTCACACAACAATCAACAGCAAAAGTTGCTCAACTCACTGGCCTTTGGAGAATTGACTTTTGCACTGATGACTAAGAAACATTTCAAAGCCACTCTAGAAACAGGACTGAAATTCTTCATATTAACAACAATACTTGTATGAAGAATGTTTTCCCTCCTCAAGTTAACAATAAAAATATAAGGGTGGGGTAGGCAGGGGAAGAAATGGTAGAATAATGGGTACAAAACCGTGCTATCTACCCCTAAGTGAATCGTTGTGCAGTACATGCATGTATTGAAACAACACACTGCACCCCACAAATATGTCCAAGTAAATGTTTAAAAAAAAAAACAAGCCCAGGGAAAGCCTGATGTTGGCGTTGTCCTCATTAAGATTGTACAGTTAGTCAAAGACCTTTCCAAAGCTTTATTACTTTATGAAAAACTTAGCTTTGTTTTGTTTGTTTCTTTGTTTTTGGTTATCTAGACAGTTTTTATAGTTCTAATGCTTATATTAGATGACTTTACTCCTCAGAGGGGTGTAACTTAAAGGCAGGACATTTAGCAGAGTATTGCTAATGGACAACATCTTGCAAAAGTGTCAGAAAAGGGATATAATTTTGATGCCAGGTCCATTCATATTTCCCTTAGCAAAGAGGACATGGGTTGATGTTTTCAGAAAATGTTGACTGAGTCATTGTAAGGTGCCAAGCACTGAATTAGAATCTTAAGCTACACATAAAAGTCAGATATGTCCTTACCCTCAATGAATCATATTTCCAGCTCCTGCTATAGATAAACACCATCAGTGGAATATGTCAGACATTTGCATTATGGCTAGTTTCCAGTGGTTAGGTTAAAATGCTAATTATTTATTTTTATTTACTCTACTGGAAATCTGCAGGCCACACTCTCATGAATGCTACCTAGGTGCCCCACTTAAAATTAAATGGTAAAGAGGATCATGAACAGCAAAAGCCTTGAATGAGGCCAGTTCATCAGCACTAAATCAATATTGATCATCACCGCACTCCTGGGAGCTGAGCTTGGGTCCAGAGTGGGTCATAGCAGCACATCCATGCAGCCGTGTCAGGCGAGACAGCTTCAAAAAACCACAAGGAGGGAAGGCTGAGGGCACAGTCTGGTGATGCAATGAAGCTAGATGCTAATAACATGGCAGTAATGGGGACTCCTGGGAATCACCAGCAGCAGAGGGACTGTCCTGGGACCCAGCTGTAAGTCACAGAAAGGTCTTTTGGAATAATGTGCATTAAAATCAGAGAGCTGCGATAGCCAGGAAGCCAAGAAGCAAATTCCTGGATGCAGAGGTTCCTGTTAGTGAGCTGTACTTTGTTCTGCTCATGAATATCTATAACAATTAGCATCAAGAGAGCCATCTCCGAGTACAAAGGACAAAGGATGACCAAGAATATATATGTGTACATATACGTATATATATATGTATGCCTGTGTATACATACATATATACTTTAACGTATGGAAATACAGACATACTCACCTATCTGAAGTTGAATAAACAGTCTGTATATATTTTCCAGAGATATTCTCCTGATATCCATCCTTTGGTGATTTACTAAAAGCAAACATATATGGACGTGTGAGAATCAGGCTGCTTTCCCTAGTATTGATGTCCATACCTGTACACAGGTAAGGAAACACACTCACATCCCTCACGCAGCTTTATTATATTTGTGTGTGTGTAATGTTACAAGCCAGGATGACGCACTGACACCTTTAATATTTTAATCTGTAGAAGTATTGACACACATGCCACCTCCAAGTTGTCATATCTACCAAAGTAAATAGAGAGTAAAGAGTATAGGAACAAGTGTTTGCAGGCAAAGAAATGACCATTTTTCATGAAATTTATACTTGCACCTTACTTATTTACCTAAAAAAAAATAGCTGTAAGATTCTTTGGCCTCACCCCACAGTCCGTGTAGTCTAACATAGATAAAGGAAATACACAAAGCACAAGCAGGGCTTGTGAGCCATACACACACCTGCCACTCACAGGCATTTCTAACAAGTTCCCAGATGTTGCTGATGATGCTGGCCCAGAGACCACACGTTGAGAATTACTGTGCTGTATGTGTACATGATACACATACGCATATATACACTAAAGTATATTCAAAAATAAGCTATAGTCATCATAGTTAAATAACTCAAGTAAAGTATGTTTTAGTCTTGGCCCTTCCATGAATCAATTTAATATTTTTCTGGTCAATTATTCAATAAATCAAAAACTCTAAAGTATAGTGTTGGGCCAGCCCGTGGCTCACTCGGGAGAGTGAGGTGCTGATAACACCAAGGCCACGGGTTCAGATCCTATATAGGGATGGCTGGTTAGCTCACTTGCTGAGCGTGGTGCTAACAACACCAAGGCAAGGGTTGAGATCCCCTTACCAGTCATCTTTAAAAAAAAAAAAAAAAGAAAAAGAAAGAAAAAAAAAGTATAGTGTATAATAGAATATTCCTAATTCTAAAAAAATCACCATTTCTTAAAAAATCAGTATTATAGTTGCTTGGCATTTTGTTCCCATAAGACATAATTTTAAAAAGCAAAATATATTGTTGTAATATTCCATAAGGGTAACAATGTTTGAGAGAGATTATTACATAAATATAGAATAAATGACTATGCTATTTTTAATTCCATTTGCCAATATATGGTGTCTTGCCTTCACTGTGACATTACTTTGAAACTACTTACCTATTTACCAATTTCTTTCAAATTTAGTAACTACTTGCTATTTTAAAATTTATCCTGAAATATTTTATCTTTTAGTTTGATCCTTCACTGTGACATTACTTTGAAACTACTTACCTATTTACCAATTTCTTTCAAATTTAGTATCTACTTGCTATTTTAAAATTTATCCTGAAATATTTTATCTTTTAGTTTGATTAAAAGACAGCAGAAATCACTGACCTGAACACACTATAGAGTAAGAACTGGATTAAGGAGAAAAATCAATCCTGAGGTTGCATTTTATAAGGTAAACTATGCTTGGGTTTGAGAAATCTATTTTTGGAGTCTTGCTCACCTCCTAACATGTATTGAATTTCTTGGAGACCTCTTCTCACAGAAGACCTCCCTTGATACTCTGCTCTTAGGTCTCTTTGATTAAATCATGTCATGTATATCCGCAGTTGTTTTCCCCACCATTCCATTATCCCTCAATTAGGCCAACTCTTGTTTTTATATTCCTTGAGAACCAAATCAGTTGTGAATCCCCGACCTTAGTTGATATTTTCCTCAATATCCATCACTCCAAGCAGCAGGTTTCATGGGACATCAAGTCCCTGTAATTTGGGCCAGAGTACATCTGCTCAAAGTTATACCCTTTATTTCAGATTGGAGGTAGACAACAGTAGACAGAACCATTTCTAGGTAGGATAGGACTCTAAATTAGTATAGGAATATTTGTGTAACTTTATAAAGCTTATTATAACCATAGTCATATACATTTATGTGAGAACTTTCAAATGGTAATCTTATTATGCAGTGTTATATTACAATATTATTTAGTCCATCCAATGACTATGATTATTTACCAACTACTTACTATTGGAAATATAAATAATAATAGACATAGAACTTGATATACTCTTAGATGGTCTTCGACTTGAAAAACACATACCCTAAAATAATAGCATCTCTTGTTAAACATAGATCATTTCAAAATTATAAATATAGCAAAATATTTAAAATAAATTTCCAATACCTATTCTCCACATATGTCCTTGTGTACACAACAGTATCCTTTGATCCTGAATGCCTGGTTCCAACATTGGAGCTGCAATACAGACCACAAACACACTCACATCCCTTTAAACTTCATGTTTATAGTTTTTTTGCTATGATAATAAAAACAAGGCTATTAACCAATTCAATGCAAAGAGTAATGCTTGCATATTTCTTCTAAACTATAATTGTTGGAATATAAATATTAAAGTGGTATTAATCTACTTCTGCAAAATTTCTTTATGCCTCCCATTTTAACTTCCACTGTCTTGGCCTACTTCCAGAGTGTTATGATTGGTCAGTCAAGAAATCTGTTGTAGAGCATGAAGATTATTTTGAATATTTGTGCAATATGTTTTAGTGCATTTCCCTGATGTTCCATTCATATTTCCAAACCATAACTTTCCCCATAAATCTCAAACAAGAAATAAGCCTTAATTAAATATCATGACAACATCTGATTTAATGAAACCTTTAGATTTGCCTAAAAATGTCAATACCAATGTCACAGTCATGCTTTTTTATTGTAGACTTTTTCAGGAAAATATCACATTTTACACTTCCTTGTCCAGATGTCACCACAATGACTGAGTTACTAACTCAACACTTTTGTATAAGACTGTTTACATATAACCCCAGATAAAGAAATTTCTGCATTTCGAAGGAAGGGTCAGGTTGGGTATAGGATTTGTTTTCAAAGAAATGGAGAACAGATTCGTCATTTGTTTTGTAATTGACCACAGTACCTGAGACTATTCCTGGCTTCATAAGAATAGGCAGTGGTGCTCCTGGACTGGTTGTGTAGACCACTGGTGAATCCATTAATGTGGCCATCTAGCCTGAGAAAGCAAACACAAGTGTTTAGCATTAAAATCAAAGCCACTTAAAAGTTTTTTGTTTTATTAAAATTCTGCTCAATTAACATTATTTTGCATACAGTAAACCTCTTTATGTTTCCCTTATTTCTGCACAGATACACAAATAGAACACATGTACTATTTTACTCCTTCCACAGAAACCACTGTCTTTTACCTTTAAAAATAACCTGCAGACCCGTGCCACATTATCTAACACTAGGATAGAATACCTTTTAATCAATATCACAAATCATCTGAAATTGGTTCCCATAATATTTTCACACCAGTAGTGTCATTTTAGGAAGCTTCCCATGTACAATATATTTGTGAGTTTATCAATTTAATGAAAATGATTCAGGGGTTGCTTTGAGAAATTCCAGTTTTCATTTTGCTATTCATGAAAGGCAATACTTTGAAGATTGCAGAATTCTGACCTAGATTTCTGTTAAACTAAAAATGTCACTGTGTTTAACAAAGTATAGGCATATTTGCTTTTCCCTATGCAACAGAAGGAGTTCCTAAAGCAATAATAGTGAACATGTTAGCTCCTTTTCCTCCATATTAGTAAACTTTGACATAGGAGAGACGTGAAAACCTAAAGGAGAGTTTGGATCTTAATCAAGCCTTCCCATTTTCAAACAGGCTGTTCCTTCCATTTTAAGATGGCTCTTAAAGAAAAGGAAAACATTTGTTCACATCATTACATCTGGCACACAGAAAATCATGTTTTGGTTTTAAGGGATCCGTTTCAAGAAAAACAGCCAAGTTAAAAATGGTACTAAGTAATGAGAAGGTGGAATTAATACTATTAGAAGATTTTCTAATATGATTATTAGAATATGTCATTTCAGGAATAATAAACCTAGCAAGGAATTGTCTGAAAATATTCAAGTCATACAATATACAATATCAAACCCAACTTTAACAAATAGCTTCAAAAACAAAGGTTATCAGTGAGTTTAATATTAGAATATGTCATTTCAGGAATAATAAACCTAGCAAGGAATTGTCTGAAAATATTCAAGACATACAATATACAATATCAAACCCAACTTTAACAAATAGCTTCAAAAACAAAGGTTATCAGTGAGTTTAAAATGTGTTTGCATTGTCTTCAGCAATGTAAAATCAACTATTGTCAGCTGACAAAACCTGCAAACAGGAGAGGGAAATAATTTGTAGATGTTATGGACTGAATTGTGTCCCCCCCCAAAAAAAAATTTGCGTGTTGAAGGCCTAACCCCCAATGTGATTATATTTGGAGACAGGCTTATAGGGGGGAATAAAGGTTCAGTGGAGTGATAAGGGTGGGGTCTTAATTTGATAGGACTTGTATCCTTATAAGAGGAAGAAGAGATACCAGAGATCTCTTTCTTTCCATGCACAGAGAAAATGCCATGTGAGGACATAGCAAGAAGGTGGCCATCTGCAAGTCAGGAAGAGAGCCCTCACCAGAAGCCAATTCTGACAGCACCTTGATCTTGGACTTGCAGCCTCCAGAACTGTGAGAAAATTAACTTCTGTTGTTTAAGCCTCTCAGTCTGTAGTTTTCTGCTATGTCAGCCCAAGTAGATTGATACAAGTACCATTTCCTAGCTGTGTTTATAGTGAGATTATTAATGACAATGCTTTCATGAAAGATTGAATTTTTCTAATTGTGAATAAAAACCAAATACTAATTTGGAATGTATAACAACAAACTCTTCAATGGATTTTGCTCCTCAAGTAGGTTTTGAGGATGATAGATTTATAAAAAAATAAACCTTTTATTTTGGAGTAATTTTAAATGTACAGAGAAATTACAAAGGTAATGTAAGGAGTCCCTGTATGCCCTTCATCCCACTTCCCCTAAGGCTAATACCTTGACATCATCAGGATACATTTGTAAAAACTAATGAATTAACATTTTTAACATACTATTAACTAAACTACAGACTTTATTCATAGTTCACTAGTTTTCTCCATTGGTGTCTTTTC